ACACACACACACACACACACACACACACACACACACACACACACACACTTTTATCTCCTGACACACATTTTCTCACACTTGTGCACACAGCTGCTGAACAGCTGCTTGATCCACGAGGAGAGAAAGAGAGGCTGTAATCTGGGCGTCTCTGATGTGTATCTGTGACACACACACACACACACACACACACACACACAGTAAGGGGGGAAAGGTTTTTACTCAGCTTTGCAACAACCACAGAAGTCTTTGTTCTCTTTTAGAGGTTTTGACATAAAAGGCTGCCTCTGTAATGTTTTTTTAATCGCCAAAAGGCTTCTGTCTGTCTGTTAGCAAAATATCTCATCAACCAGTGAACAGATTTGAATGAAACTCCCATAAAGTAATCATTAGACACACATTTACAACTGATAACCGCCTAAAGTCAAACCAATTAAAGATGGCCGCCACAGCTATTTTATATTAACTGATACAGTATAGATCATGTTTTCCACAGCGCCTTGTTAAAACTGAAAACAGGAGTCAGAGCCAGAACTGAAGAACAGCACTTGTACACGCTGCRAGAGAAGAAGAATTGAACAATGATGATCTTTGTGGGACAAGAAGAGGCTGTTTTCAAGCCTCTGAGGCCCTCGGTCACGTACGACGTTGGACCCAAAATAAAACACGGTTCCTGCTGCAGAGGCGCTGTTCGACACCGTTACTCAGGATCTAGATCTACTGAAGCTTTGGGTAATCGAGCCTGCATGAACATAACCGTCTATTTTTAATAGTTTTTGTTTGCTTTTTTTAAATTCAAGTGTTAAAATGCAACTGAGACAAGAAGAGTTTGAAATGCGACTTTCTACTAATTTTTCTGAGCACGGTCTGGTCTGTGTGGATTTACAAATTTTGAACTAAAATAAGTTGTGGTAGTAGCTGAGAGTCATCCTCAATGAATTATTTTTGGGGACATATGCAAATTCCAATTTTTTTTTAGCTTTTTAAGAGTGCAGAAAAGTTAAATCTAGTTTCTCCTGGTGCTGCGTAGATAT